GGAATGCTCCCAGTGCCCTCTTTTTGTTGATCTCAGTCTGTAACCTTCTGTTTACAGCAAAACGAACCAAGAGAATCAACTCCCACCCTTTGCAGTCCAACACCTTCTGCGCTACCTCCACAGGAAAAATACAGCACAGCTGCGCCTTCGTGCAGCGAAGTGACCACAGCACGTGCCACTACAGCTCACTTTAGCTCATCACTACACATGAGAAAAAGAGATGGGAGGAGGCAAATACTGTCTAGCACACCAGCCAGTTAACACAAAAAACTTGTTCTTGCCTGGGCTACGGTCTTCATCTATACCCCACCCTTACACCCTCACTATCCGAAGTAAATGTTATTCTGCTCATTCAGATGGGGAAGACAATTTTTGAGGAAGGGGAACAGACAAGAAAGGTAAGGCAAGAGGTAAGAGCATGGACTGGATGAAATTTTGGAGAAGCTTCTTTCTGCTGCTGGGATGCATGTTCCTTTTCCAATTGCACTTTGAAGAACAATGGCAGCTGCTGCAGTCGGTATACGCTAAAACTGCCTAGAGACCCTCAGGCTAGACAGGCAGGGAATTGTTTCATCAGTGGATCCCAATAAGCTTAAACTTGAGACAGCCCCTGGGACTCACTGAACACTTTAAACCAGCAAAAATCTGGAACTGCTGCCGCAAGAGGGTGATCTACTCCTGCTTCTGCATTTACCCACCACTTATTTCCCATGTCCTCCTTTGTACCCAGACAAGTATTTGTGCAGCCACACAATGACTTGGATCAAGGAACTGAACCAACTTTTAACTAATTCAGTAAAAGAAGAAAGTGGCTATTTTTCAGACAGATCTGTTCCTTGATCTAGTTCACTACAAAGCCACAAAAATTACTATTAAGAACGCAAAGGGGAGGATGGTGCTGGGACAAGAAAAGAGCACAGAGCAAAGGATGGGACAGCCTCCTTCAAATCATATGTGTGGGTCCAAGAGCCTCAGCAAAACTTCAAGACCTGAGGAACTTTAATATTGAAAACTTCAGCATTTGCAGGGTTAAGTGATACTGAACTGTAATTTTAAGGCTCTTTATTTTAGATCTAGGTGCTTAACTCCGGCCTAAATTCATTTCAGGTTTCTGTATCCTTTAGTGAACCACAGCATAGTTTCCTTCCAGAAGGAATAAATATTGCATTACAGAAAAGCTTTTTATTTTCCAGTGCTGTAAAGGAAAGCAAATCACAGGTCCCTACCACAAAAAAACAGGATGGAAAAAAACATCGTATTTCAAAATTAATTACTATATACAAATAAGAACAGAAAAATACATTTTGTTCAGCTCATTGCACAAGCATGTATTACATATAGGAAAACATGAAAAGGTGTAGAAAAACTGGTTTGCATGTTTTGTTTTAGGAACAGAAAACTATATAAGCACACTGCTTAGATTTAGGAGTTTTACATTCCTTATCGTTACCTGTGTGCTGTGCTCAGTCATAAAAACGAATTGAGATGATAATGCAGATTCCTGAACAGACACACTGCTAGTTAAAGAACTTTTAAATTTATCAGCTGATTTATTTGCAAATACTCAGAAAATGTAACCCTTATTTACTAATTGTTTCCTGACAATCTGAGAGAAATGAATCACTCCCTAGTGAAAAACTCAGCATCATCTTTACTACAGTGCTCTTTTGGCTAACAATCTTTAATGAATGCATTTTATCCATTGCTGAAGGTCTTCTTTGTTTTCTTTCATACCATGTTGCTTCTACTGTATTAATATAATTGACCTTAATTCCTTTTATGAGATACAATTTCCTTAGCTCTAGCGTTTGGATTTTAGATATATAGGACATGTAAAAACTATGTAAAATAATGACAAACAAAAATAATTCCTCTTCCTACAGTGACATATTTATACATGGATCACAGAAATAAGGCCTGAAAAATGTGTGGATTAGGCAATTTTCTCTTTTTTTAATTTTCCAGTCTATTACTTCTTCATCAAAAACAGTACAATTATCACATTCTACTTTGTTCTCCTCAGAATAACACACAAAAATATACATTGTGATGAGACTAGCATCAGGGCTGACTAACTACCTACCAGCGCACAGATTAAAACAGCTAAACCAAGGTTCTTATTTGCAGATCCAGTCTACAGCAACATTTGGTCAGCCAACAAGCTCTCAGCTCTCATTCAGGACCCTGTATTTTGAGATCTGAACTGAGCTGTCTTAGTCTACAAGGCGAGTCTCACACTTCCTGGCAGAAAATGAACTATGTATTTGGAAATTAAGAATCCTATGTACACAAATAATAAATCTGACAGAAAAACCCTACAAGGTAGGCATCCAGTCCAAAAGCTAGTTCTATCAAAAAAATATGTGGACTAGGGACTTCATATGTACCCAACAAATTTTTGTAACAGAGACAATTCTCACACAAATAAATATAGAACAGTAAGTGCCGATGTACGATGGTAAACCTAACCTGGCCAACTCATTATATATCTAATATAGCTGCAAAGAACTTTAACCCATAATTGTGATATTAAGGTTGCTCTGAGAAAAGTGTCTTTGAATCAAAACGGAAGTGCCTTAGGAGAACAGCATTTAAATATATAGCTATCCCAAGAAACCACCTCCCCTCAGGAGAAATTACCTGGCTTAAAATTAGGGTAACGTCAGGACATTCCTGACCATAATTATCATAATTATCTCTGTCCCAAAGAATCTAGACATCTTTCTACAAGTAACTGTAAAGTTTTGTTCTTCCTGCATGTGTAAAGTTTAGATTCTCCCTGGATGGGTGAACTTCAGATGAATATACTGGTTTACATGTAACTTTAAACAATGTAGGCTAGAAATAGACATGTGGCCTCAGAAATGGGTAACCTAGGAGGACAGCCTGAAACACCATATATTGAGCTAATGAACTGGATGTCAAGAAGATAGGACTCATAGATTAACACACAAAAAACAGATTTCTCCCAAACTGGAGAAAGGTAATGATATTGTCAATATTCTACATTATGGAACTAATGGAAAGACTACATTATTTCAGGGTTTTTAGTGAAGAAAAGATGCTAGTATGCACAGACCTTCTGAAATTTGAATAATTATATATAAGTACGACAAGTTAGGTATGTACGCAAGCTGTCTAGGACTTCAAGGGTAATTCTTTCATACCAAGGGGACTCAGGTGTTCAGTTGTGACACACCGGGGAAGTCCAAAAAACACTCATAATACAGTACTGTCTTATTAGGGAGGAGAACATTAGGATGTGGCAGTGTAGATTTTGTTCATTCTGCTACTCATACAGCAACCGAATCTCTCCCTCTCTTTTGTTGCTGTTCATACTTCTATAGGGGGGAACATATCCCTTGAAGTGCACAGTGTTTGGAGAAGAGGTTCATACTACAGATTCTTCCTTAACCAGTAAAAAAGTCTTAGTAATTAGAGGAATGAGTATTACCATGACCAAGTTCAGCCCACAGCCGAATCTTTGGATAGTAGAAATTTTGGGGTACTGGATTAGCCAGTATTAAGAAAATAGCACAGACTAAGCCCCAAGGATGCCCCTAGCCAAAATAAACCAATCTTGCATTCATAAAGACCATATGCACTGCCAGTGGAATCCATGTCATCTGTGTCATCTTTCTGCCATCTAACATAAAGAATTAAAAGTCGATTTGATAAGGGCTGTAAACTATGGCCAAGATTTAGCAGAGGCTTACAGATTCAAGATTCCTGACACTTCACTGGCATTATGCACATGCTTAAAATTAATTATATGCATTTGGTTTTAGGCTTCATGGGATAAAACCGAATGTTAAGTATACTATAGTCCGTAACATTTAAAAGAAAAATGTGTCATGTTTTTCTGAAATACCATTTTCACATTTCTGTGATTTTAAATTAGTGGAGACACAGGGCTATAAGAAATTAAAGGTTATAAGTAAGACATTAAAGATAAAACATTTTAGCAGCATTTCCAATGTATCCCTCAACGGCAATCATTTTCAGTAATGGATCTTAGTTAAACTGGGCTTTACAACTGAAGGCTCCATGGCCATTAGTTAACAATCACGTCCTTCCCTTAAATGTTACCACAAATTAAGCTCTACTGATTATACCTATTTTTAGCAATCTGCAGATGAAGATTCCTATTTGGCCAGAGCCTCTTACTTTTGCGTAAACTACCTTCTTTTCTAGAAGTTAGCTTATCAACAAGCTTTCACTCTCTAGAACTGCAGTAGATTCCTTATCCCTAGTCTTGCTTTCTGAGCTAGCAGCTTTTACTGTCTTCCTGAGTTGCACAATCTCTGTACAGTCTTCCCTCTGTCTTTGAGAAAATAAACTGTGATCACAGTCTTCTACCTGCAGCAAGCAAGTTCCTTTACTTCTCTCAGTTCCAAGCTCTACCTACCCAACACATTACCTGATTTCATGTTCTCCCTTTCTAATTCTCCCTATTTCTGTTTCAGTCTTAGCTCAGAGAAACTTCTGGATGTCAGGATGAGGCATGCAGAATATGATAATATGATCAGCTGCCACTGAAGAAAGGCATAGCATTACTTCACTCCTGAAGTGCAGCAGCCAGAACAACATAAACAGGAACTTTCCTTTCCATTGCACAGACATAGCTTTTGAAACAAAACATAATATATACTGCATATTAAATACACGTAATAAGTTAGTTATTATTTTTAGAATACCAACAAACCTGTAATAAGGCTTCTTCTGGTAAACGGGATGTTTTACGTTTAACCGATTCATAGGTAAGATATTCATTTGAATCAAAACAGCCTTCCTGACCTTTCTTTACCAATCTCTGAAAAAAAGATGCAATAAGAGAAGTACAATTTTATCTTAATTGCAGGTTTATACTTTTAAATACATTTAAATATTCAGGAACATTGTCCAAAAAAGGAAGTCAAATTTGCTAAATTTAGTTACACATCTATGAACATTTGTAATTGCTACTGCCGAGAATAATTACAGTTTTAGGGTCCATCTCATGATTTTGAGTTGTAGCAATACAATATAGAAGCATAGAAGGCAATGTACATTTCCAAACTAAAACATTGTGTACAGTAATTTGTGCACACCATATGACAGAAACATACCGTTAGAGAACAGAAAGGAGAAAATATGGAGAGAAGGAAAAATTAGCAAAGAAAATGGGAGGGAAGAAGACAATGGGATGGGAAAGACGGAAAGAATAGAACAAATGGAAATATAATGAGCTTTAGATTACAATTTGCCTATTAGCAGCAGTATGAGTCCTTTCGGCCCATTAGGTTTACTTGTTATCATCATCATTATTGACCTAATACTACATTTTAAAGGCAATCAGAGTGTCATCTCAGAAGCCCTGGCGCATCCAAGACTCCCACAGAAGACTGGCAGTTATGACACAGGACTTACAGGTGATTCTTGCACTCCTTGAGCATTAAGATGGAGCCCTGCCTGGTTTGGCCTTACCTTATCCTGGGGCCTGTCAAATTACACCAAATGCCTATGTTTAGGCAATTTAATTGCACCTAAAATGCCTACAATAGTGCATACTAATCAAAAAACGTGAAGAGATTCAGCTATTTTTTTTTGTTATAGGCATTCTAATCTAACTGCAGAAGTCAAACCAGTCCTTATAACTGCTATTAAGAATGAAATTTCAAGAATATTATTTCTTAAGAATGCCGTGCTGTCCTCCGGAAACAGGACATCTTTTGTTAACCCAGTCCAGCCAGACTAACATTTTAGGTACTTTTACATACCAGCAAGAAACAGATTAAGGAAAAGGTATGGGAGGGACAAGAAACAAAATATCACAAGTGAGAGTCAACCAAATAATTTTAGGAACTAGGGAAGAAACAGGATTGATGATAGGCTTACTCTGGGAAGGATTTGACAACTCTTGCTTGGTAGCCAGCAAGGGATTAATTGTGCATAGGTGGCTTTCATTCTGACCAACGGCCCTACAGTAGGGGAAGCAAAAGGAGCCAAACAGTGGGAGAGCTTTATCTGTATGAGTGTGTTTTTTGAATCCTCATGTTATCAGTGTTGGTTGGGTCCTCCAGGTCCCATCACTTTCCTTCCCCACATGGTATTTCCTGAGCAGCCCACCACGGTGCAGCATGCTCTTCCTTCTCCTGGAGAAACTTTTCCAGAAATTACAAGAGCCATATTTCCCACAGTGAGGCCAGATATGACTGCTGGGAGATGGGTGTATGGGGTCCAGAAGTGCACGTGCAGCTCCATGCGCTGCATACTCACAGCTGATACACACCCCCATTTTGGCTACCTCATGCTTTTGGGGAGGGGAATGTAGTTATTGAGGCTTCCCCTCACTCTGCAGGGATCTACAACTTTTGTATTCGTCTAGCTGCGGTCTAGAGGCATCATCATTATTAGTCATCCCAAATGGGAAACGGGCATCAGCCACACGATCCAGGCTAGCTAAATTGCTGATAACATATGACAACAGTCAACCCCTTTTACTGCTTAAGGTATGACCAAGCTTTTACTCATAATTTGACATCTAGATCACATAGGCAATGGTCTACTTCCATAACAGTACTTTAACAGTAGTATTAGCAGTAGTACAGTACTTCACTTAATATTGATAAAGCTGTTTTTCCATAAATATTAGCATTTACGGAGGTAATCTTTAATCACTGAGCTTACTATATTAGAAGTATTATATTGCATACCTCAAAATATGCTTTTGTTTTCAAAGAACTGCAGGCCTCTGCATGCCAAGCTTTTAAGACAGCATTTAAAGATATTTTGTTAAAGATCTGTTGTAGTTTCCTTGCTGCCACTGAAAAATACATTTAATGATAACCAATTTGAGGACCATAATTAAGAACAAGTGCGTCATGTAAATGCTTTAGATGAATGACGGCTTACCAAATTACTTTTCAATAAAGTAGTTACTCAGTTCATTTTTTGTATGGATATAAATAACAACTTTTTATAATAAATATAATTAAAACCTTTACAATAGCATTCCAAGTTAGCAAGCAAAGCCTAAACAGGACATAATTCCATTTTATTAGAGTTGCATATAAGACATTATTGATCTACAGCTTGATTTACCAAAGCCAGTAATTTCACATCTCTTGAAGCTGCAAAATGTATACAGACCTAAGTGAAATAAAATATAATTTCATAATTTTAAAAATGTTTTGGAAGGCATAGAAGAGAGTACATTCAAACCATTCGTAGATGTCACCTGAACTGGAGAGGGAAAGAACTGTGAGCAATTCACAGGACAAAATTCAAAATAGTCTTGATAAAGGGGAGAGGGAGTCAAAAGTCATAAAAATAAATTCAGCATCACTTAACATAGCCTTTATTTTTAACCTAAAGTTGTCTTGAAATTCAACTGAAATAAACTAAATGACTATAAAGGAACATTTAAGATCTATTTGTGTTTGTGAAAAATGCCAATGTGTCTCAAACGCAGCACAAGATGCAATTTTGATGGTATATTCCTATATTTGTTTTCTGCTTTCTTAGTCATGTTTAAATGCTACATGTTCTAGGGAACATATCGCACAATATTACTTAACTACACACTTCAGTAAGCGTACACTTCACACTTTCATTATACACTTACATTACACACTTCAATAACTTTTTACACTATGCAATCAATAAGGTACAGAAACTGGAAAGATTTGCAGGGCAAATGACTACCAAATACCATCAAATTTTCATTATCCAAAAGACACAAGGGATGCAGGCAAAATCTCCCAGGACTGGATGGGAGGGACTGCCATCTACATTAACATGCTCTGATTTTAATGAGTCAGGATCTAATAGTACCCTGGTGGCAAAACCAGTTTCGAAACTCCCAGTCCCTTCAGTTCTTTCTCATAGCACGCTGCTCACTCCTGGACTTTTGCCATACATCACTCCTTCCTTGGGTTAGCCCACAGTTCAGGATAGCTCTACTATAAGCAGACTGCAAAAGTGATCAGATTTTATTTAAGAAAAAAGACCAACACTTTCTTAATTGTTGATCATTCCACTAACCTAGCTTACAGTGCAATCCCACAAACAGTTATACTGGTACTAGTGAAGAGTCAAAAAATTGAGGAACAGAGCCAGGAATGACTGAATAGAGTTTCTTCATACGCCAACTTTGTTACAGAAGTAAATATATGGTGCAATTATGCCCACCACATGCCTCCAGATGACTCCAGATGCTTCTGTGGATTTAAGATTAACAAAAGTTGCCTTGGCTGAAAGCAATATTTAGAACAGAATGAAAAAGAAAGTAATAAAAAAGAATAGAAAGGCTCTGAAAACTGCTTAGGGAAGTCTGACAACAGTTTGGGGCTCCTGCTCTGTGAGAGCTGTTGATTCCCACATAACCTCTGGAGATCAAACCCACAGCTATATGTAGTGCTTTTGCCCCATTCTGTACTTCTAAAGAGCTTCTGTATGACTGAGTGAAGTCAGGTTAAATAGAGTCCATGCTCACAGCTGCTGCCATGTTGGGACATTCAAAAAATCCCATACTGGCAGGATTCGTGGAACACAGAAAGTATCAGGCAGAGCGAATAAAGCATTTTTTTGTTCTCTGTCTTCTTTTTCTGATTAATTTATTTTGATTTTCACACTTTCCCCACCTCCTATCAAGCACTCTCTCTGACAGAAGCCAAGACCCTGACTCCTGTGATCCCTCCAGCTTTACTCCAATCACTGTACTCTTCACCTCCCAGAAGAATATATCAGCTCACTTCACCCTGCAGTTCTTACACACACTTCACTTCCCTAACACGTCCCAAGCCTGCTTTGCATCAGCTCTGTTCCTAAATCTTCAAGGGAGAGTACCGGCACTACCCTAGCAAAGCACTACAGGGAACCACTGCCTCTCACAGGATTAAGCCACTGGTGAACCAGTCAATGGCATCCTGCAATGCACCGCAGCAAAGAGAGACATTAAAAGACTTCGAAAGCAAGACACTTTGCTGGGCCAATTTTTTTCTGAAAAAAAGCATATTTCCTGTTCAATTAATACAGCATAATTTTTCTCTAAATAACAAGTAATTTTGTCTTAGAAAAACAGCTATGAAGACTTACATGTCTTTTTTTCTTTGTGAATCTGCACCAAGATGTTCCACTTCTGAATAATTACTCTTACTATTCGGAATTTATAATGGACTACTGCAAGAGCCATCTTCTGCTCTGTCTTTTTTCTTTTGTTCTTTCTCAGTAGATGATATTTTATCCAACCTCTAAATTTTAAAACAAATGAACACTTTAGTGTGGCTCCCACAGTGAATGAAGTAAAATTCATAACACACTGCAAGTTGCTGTGAAAAACAAAGCAATCAAGTTTACCAGTATAAACTTCTGAACTGATGTTTGTTATTTATAATTTAAACAAAATATACATTGGCAAAATTGTTCAGTAATAATTCACTTTGCTCATTTTAATAACATTTCTGCTTTTCTTAGTATTCTACATTATTGCTCAATAAAACATCTGTTTCCCAAATCACATATTCCCACTGGTGTCAGAAATACTTTACTATATGGATCTGTAATTATGGAATAACTTTTCAGTAGTTATGCAAAATAATTTAATAGTGCTAGATGTATGCATTTGCTTAAGCATTGCCTTGAACTGAGACTTAAAAGTGCTATTTAAATTTTCTTGGCAATAGAAGTTAAAATTAAAGTAATAGAATAAAAACTCACTATTTTTAACAATTATAACTTTCAGTAAAAATCCTATCTCTCATCTATGCTAAATGATGAGAAATAATCAGATCCAGAACAAAAATGTATTTCAAATGAATCATATGTTGCTGTTAAAATACAGTATGTCTCCATATCCGATTAGCTAGAAAGACTACTGAACAAATTAGACTTTACAAGACTACTCTCATTTGTCAAAATCTCTCTGATTTGGAAGTAAAAAAGGATTCCATTTAATATATTTGGAAGCAATTACGAATGGAACACTTCTGCTTCAATCCAGCTTCTATTATAATTAAACAGAAATGTTAGCTCAGACAGTCTTCATAAAGCTGCTGCAAAGGAAAAGGGAATAATCTTCCATAACCCTGGCATATAAGACAAATAGAAAAAAAAAAAAGATAATTTGCAGCAAGGAAGATTCAGGTATTAGGAAAAATATTTCTAGTAGAAAGAATTATGAATCACTGGAACAAACTGCCTGCAGAGATTGTTGTGTCTCCAACTCTTCTCTGATATCACTAAAATCAAGCTTGACAAACAGTCACTACGGATGACCTAGGTTTAGCGTGCAACATCTTGACGCCCCTTCCAACCCTATGATTCTGTGAGTCTTAGTAAGGATTTACACTAGTGTTTCTAACAGAGTTGTACATCAGATGTAATGAGCACTGTATGCTTTTGAAAACAAAACAGTATTGCTAAATATCTAATGCGATCTCTCCTAAAAGGAGGACCATTAAATTCTGATTCAATTTTGTAACGAAGAAATTAGTGAGTAAGTTTATTTGTAACAATCTTTTATTTGTAACAATCTTTTTTTTAAATATATCTAATACATATCTAATAATCTTCCCATTATAGAGGGGAAAGGCTGGACTGCAGAAAGCATAAATTAGTTACTTCTAAGCACAAAGAAAATTGAAGAAAAGTGCGGAAGAGAACCCAACTCTTTCACTTTCAGACCTAAACTTCAGCAGGTCTCAAATTATCTTTTTATTCTTGGGTTTATTACCATATTCCTGGCAAATAGATCTGATCAAAGTACAGAACTGTCAACCAAATTTGTTCAGGCCTGGAGAAGGCAGAAATTTTAAATTAACTAGTTTTAACATAAAGTAAGATTACTAAAGTAAGGTAAAACCAGATAATCTAATTTTCTGATCTCTCTTATTATGTTGTTCAATGAAAATGAAAACCTGTATTTTCCTCCCAAAGGAATTACATACATAAGTATTCATTTCTTAAAGGATTTTTCCGAAAATGTTCCTGAGTTATATGTAAAATACACAGACTTACCGAAAATATAACTTCATTAAGTTTCTGCTGTAGAAGTCCAGTGCTTTGGCCCATAATTCTTTAGTCATCTAAGCAAATCATTTATAGCCTTAGTACACAAAGCAATGCTGTATTATGAATATTTAAAAACCAAACACAAATATGAAATCTCATATCTTTATTTTCCATTTGGACTGGTGTACATTAAAGTATGCATTTTAGAGAGATGAATGTTCAGATAAAATTTTCTGTTTATAGCTATTAGTACTTCTGCTATCAATGAACATCTCTGTTTTTAAACATAAAAGTTAAAAGGAAAACCTAAATTAGCATACAAAACAGAACTAGTCTGTGTACTTGAGGGAAAACTCAATCTAACTGAATTTCAGTCTTTTATCCCTTAAATGCACTATTTTGTGGATCAACTCTATCCAGCACTTAAGCATATTAAAAGAAATATTTTAATTACTTTTTATCAAAATTCTTTTCTTTTATATAACATTAGTATGTAAACCATTTATCATATGATTCTAATTAATATTTATTTTAATAGTCCTGTTCAAATTTTTAGGATTGCACAAGACCATGGTCTAATGTCTTGTTTTTTAAGAATATCCCTGTAAAAAAAATATGGTCCTTTGAACGTGTAAAGAGAAAACAGCAATTTAACCTCAGAAAATAGTAGCTCTTCTCACTTATTGCACTTACTCCTTGGAAAATCCAGGAGAGAATTTTACTGAGACATGTTTGTTTCCCTATCCATTATTCTGCATACACTGTATAATCAACCATTCTAATTTTAGGCTGATTAATATAATATTTGAGTGGCTGCTAAAGAGGAAGCCGACGGAAAAAACACTGCAGTAAATTCTTGATACAAATGCAGATGTACTGAGAAAAGACAAAACTGAGTAGAGTTACACAGGGGTAAATAAGAGAAAAATTTTCACACCTGCATGCCAGGATGCTGATTAAATAGCTTAGGCTGCTTCTTTGCATAGCCATACAGCAACTTTCTCCTTTCTGGATATTTTAAAGTAACAGTTTTTGTTCTCTCCAGGTAACTTTTTTGGATCAGTAAGATCAAAATATTTTCCAACTAATTCCTTTATGTACAAGAATTTAACTGAAATTACTCGTTGTCAGTGCTGACAGCATTTTTCCAAATTTACCAGTGTTCAACTGTAATTTTAAGTCCTACAAATAATCCTACGGAGTATTAATTAGTGTGGAGTTCCGGAGGGTAGACAGAATGAATGTGCTCATATTCAAATAGAAAAAATATTCTGAAACTTGGTGAGAGAAAATCTCCATCAAGTTATTTGCTTTATTTGGTATCCTCCATATCGGCCTAAACACGGATTAGCTGACAGTCATGCAATGACAAATGTAATTCATTGTAGTATGACCAACACAACAGAATATAAATGCAACCATTTATTCTATAAAATACTATTTAACAATATCTGTCTACTTACAAATTAGAATGGCAGTTGTAACAGGATTTGTTTTTGCTGGGTACAGTAAAATATAGAGATATGTATTTATATTCACAGAAGTATTTTTTAAATACATCCATTTATGCTATATTTTATGTATACAGAGAAAAGAATAAAACTCTGTTTATTTAAAATATGTAAACCACAGCTGAATGAGTCTGTAAGGCTTTGTCTATGCCAGTACATTCAAACATACTCAGGAACTTTCTAGGCAGTGGAACACAACTGTCTACAGCAAGCTGTTCAAACATACCCTGACACAGATTTAACCTTTACCACTTAGTTCCTCTCCTAACAAATTCCTCTCATGGTTTGACAGAACAATCCAGGGACCATACCCTCTAGACTCTGCATACACACACCTTGTTTTGAAGGCTAAGACAATTTATTAACATAAATAAAAGCCACTCCATAGGAGCTGGCCACAATGGCCAGGAACGTTCCCACACATAAATTTTAAGTGTAGACACAGTGTAAAAATAGTTATTGTGTGTCAGTGCACGGTTTTGGTAAACTTTCTTCACTTCCTTTTTAAACTATTTTCATGATTATATTTAGTGGAATCAGTCTATATAAAACTAAATAATACACGGAAAAAATAAGCAATTGAAATGATATTCATATTTTTTTAATTATGGTCATATTTGGAAAAGGTACTACTTGTTCCCTACCATATTCTTACATGCTATGCTCATCTCTGATGATGATAATTTTTGAAAGGTTACAAATCAACATCAATAGAAAGAAATGCAAGGTATCCTATTCCTCATGTAAACGATAAAAAAGAAACATGAAAAAACTTGAAACTAGAATTTATCTATTCTGCACAGAAATTTTCTTTCACAGCACAGAGTTAATGCAAGTGCTCAAAGAATTTTACCAGCTGTTCATCCTCTAGTCCAAAAAGGGTATTCAGGTAAGTTTCTGCAATCCTCTTTAAGTTTGTCCGTAAAGAAGGATCAACACACATATACCTTCAAAAAAAAAAAAGTAAATTATATTAACTTATATTCATATCACTAAAGAAAATGCATCTTTCCTACTTAACACAGTTACATATTAAAATATTAGTATAACATTACTATTAAAAGATTGAACTGTATCACTTTCCTTACAACTAACTATAGCTGCCATTTTTAAATGCTTACAAAATATGAAAACAAATGAACATATTTTATTGCTACTCTTAGAGATATTTTAAAATAGTGTGTAGATTAGAGCCTAACGTATTTAATATAATATAATCTGAAAGGAAATGATCAAGACAGAAATTATTTTGCTTCTCATCTTAATATTGACTTAACAGTCATTTCAAATTGTCAGCAGTTAGAGCAGCGTTTCCTGCTGCTGCAGATAGGTTATGGCAAGTGTAGGTAGGTATACTATTTTGTTTCCTTAAAAAAAAAAAGAAAAGACACCCTTCAAGAGCCAAGTAAATCAAAAAGAACTGTGCTGTATTATGCTTCCACGAAAAATACGGAAATTAGAAGTATTCATCAGAGAGCCAAAATTCAAAGAAAAATCAAGCAGGTTTTCAACTTGTAGGAATGGCATCATAAACAATGCAAAGTAAACAATAAAACCTAATTACTGTGGTTCTGACCATTGGCTGTTGATGAATCCACTGGTTTCCTCTGTTATACATGGAGAAACCCAAGGAAAGGCCTGATATGATAAGGACACAAATTTGCATTACTCACTGAAATGATGTTATCCGTCACCACAACGTACCTAAGTGGATAAAGAGTCCACCCAGCTCCTGAGAGCTCTGCTTCAGTGGGCCAAAGATGAAGGATTTATTATGCACCTCCTAGCGAAAACTTCCACCAGGAATGACATTTGCACAAAATACGGAAACAAGGTCAGTCCTTGAGTATCCGTTAAATACATCTACAGATGGGTAGTCACTGGTTAGCCCTATGAAGTTAGATGAAAGATGCATGTTTTCCTAGCATTAAGCACGACATTGGCAATTCTATTCTTTTCCCTCTCTTTTTACCAAGTCTCTTTGTAACCAATCAATAACCCCTACAATGGGAGAAGACTCAGAGGGCAAGGTGCCCATGAAGTTCAGGAACAGTGCAGGATGCAACTCTATTAATCCTTGCTGCTGCACAGAGAACTGACTTTATCTGAACGCAGAGGGGGCCAGAGGGTGACCTTTGTTTTGGACAAGCAGCCGCTAATCAGACTGCTGTGAATGTTTCTTCAAAGAAATGTGAAGGTCTCCCTGAGAACAGCCAGATCACCATGGGGGAAGTGTATATGTGGCTCAGCCCAACAAAAAGTATAAAACCTCAACAACTAACAAAGAAATTTCAAAGAGAGCAATGGGCATGAGCTGGCATCCACCTGTGTATTCCTTTCTGGCGACTGGGGACGCCCAGCATCATGACGGTGAGCACATTGGAGACCGGTAATGGCAATCACATCGGTATTGCGATTGAACTGTCTAGCTGGATTTTTTCAGTGCATACACTTAAATGGTGATTTCAGTATTTTGCTGAATCACTCTGCTAAATCAAAAATCCTTGCTGTGTAACATCAAATTCCTTCAAAATAAACTTTTATATTAAACATTGCGCTCTCCGTATCTGTGGAATATCTAAAAGAACCTGCTCAGAGGGCACTGGACTCTGACCCTCTTCCTCTAAGTTTTTCTAGCTCCCATCTAAACAGAGCAGCAGAGTCTTTCGGAGTCATTTTTAATGCAGTGATGAACATAACAATTTTCTGACAATGACGGGCATCTTACAGAGCTCAGCGTCTCAACAGAACAGTCCCTTACTAAAAACAATGTGTCAGTGATAGCAGACCAATTAAGCAGAATTCTAAGAAATTACATAGTATAGCATTTACATGTAAAACAGAATTTAATTCATACTGAATTAAGATTTGCCATCTCCTTCCTTTACAAAGCTTTAACTCCCCGGCAGTTTTTGCCTTCAGTCATCTCTATTGTTATAAACCTTTGGTCATCTTTTTTCTCCTCTTCTTATTCCCTTGCCCTACAAAGTTAGCAGAAGTTCTTCTCAATATTTCAAGATTTTTTGCACCTTAATCCTGATGATATCATGAAACAGCAGACTTGATCATTGCACTCGTGACACCTATGAATGCAACTGCATACTTTGACAAAGACTGTTTCTTAAAAAAGACAGCACTCCATCTTCTTAGTGATTCATGTCATGACAAATACCAACAGCTTGCTGCTCTTCTCTCTGCACCAACTGAAGATCTTTTCTTGATATTCAAAACCTTCAATGGACTAGAATTTGCACCTCCAAGATTGCATATTTACAGGCATAAATTTACTTGAAATACACATGAACTATGAAATGACTTATTTATACGTGAAAGTTAACAGATGAAGAGAAATAACTTTCACAAGAGCTGCACCAACAGTACTGGACATGGTTCAAAACCAGGTAAGAACATAGGGCCTGACAATATTCAGAGCTAAAGCAAAATTGCATCTTGGCTTCTGCATAGTAAGCCAGGAATACACATATATACTCTCTCTCTTTTCCCAGGCACAGAATAACTAGAAACTAGTCAAGCTACTTCTTCTAACAGTGGGCACCAAAAGACTGAGAAAAAATAAACTGTTATTATAATATATATTTTTAAAAACTCAGAAAGCATTTGTAACTTATACTATTTACAAGTACAAGTTTACAAGTTTTGCAAGAATATTTTGAAGACCAAAACTTGCTTCCGTTTAGGCCAATCGCAATATTCTCTAGAAGGTTCCAGTGTAAACAGAACTAAATCATCAGTTGCTTTTATCCTACACTGTGATTTAAGAGTGAAAGAGCAAACAGAGAAGAGAAAAATGGGAAATAATACAATTAATCATTCAATACTTAAAGGACCACACCCCTAGCTCATATAGGTAAATATACTCTTGACTGCAATGACACTGTAACAAGTAATTCTACTTCAGTTTTGATTACCACAAAAATAAGGGTGTAATGTATTTATCAAACTAAGAGGACCATTAAGTAGGAGTCATATTCATTAAATATTCCCTAGAAAAACATACAGAATCCAAAAGAAAAATATTTTCTATATTTTTAGGAGATATTGTCAATATTGGTCTTACTATATGTGTAGTACCATAGGCCATTATAAGGAATACTAATATTTAACTTGCAGTCTACACAGCAGATGCCAATGGCATCAGCATGTTTCAGAAAGTCTAAGTTCAGTATTATAAACCACATAGCACACACAAAAATATTTAAGATGTACCATAAAACAGCATCGAGTCCCTTTTCCACTATTTCTTTGAGTTTTTCTTCTAAAAATATAAGTGGATCTTCTGGACGCATAACAACTACACCACAAAGCAGGGCCTGCAAATAGAAACAGCAAATCAATATCTTTTTCCTAAAAGTAAATTAGCTTCTACATACGAAACTATTAAAATAAATGCAACTACTAGCTTCTTTTAAAATTCTGTAAAATAGATACATTTCCTCTTGCCACTTATCCTTACAGTTCATTTGTATTTTAAATGTAACATTGTATGTATCAGCATATTTCAATTAGCAGACTTTAAACCACTGGGCTTAGGACTGTTAGAAAAGGGAGCTCATTTAGCTCTAGCCCAGCTTAGCACTAGTGCCTGAAGTAGAGGAAGCCTGCAGGCCGCAGGACCGAATTGTAAATGAGCTCGAGAGACATTGCTGAGGACGCGACCGCAAAACCAGCTAGAGCCGGTCCTCAAAGATAACAGCACGCAATGGACAGAGGTAACGGCTAACCTTCGGATAAGAGAAGGCACTATGAAGCAGGAACAGAGCAACCGTCCCAGGATGTAGACGTGAACCAATCAAAAGGAAAGAGACCACCGACTCGGCAAAGACGACTGGAAGAGACTGTCACGGGCAGGCGGGGAAATTTGACTGTAAGGAGTTCTTTGCTCGGGGTCCCTCCCCAGAGGCACCCAGCTTGAGCTGTTACTTTGCTGTACCGTCATTTAAATAAATAATTAAATTCACTGTTACACGTACGTGAGACTCTTCTCCTAGGAAACCTAGAGTCAAACTATTTCCATAACAGAACAGTAATAAAATATATGGTATTTCCACAACATTGCCTACTAAGAATTTCAGTTTTTTACTGTGCATTAAAGAAAAGATATATAGAAGATTGGATAATTTTATTTAATTAAAGAAAAATGGAATTCAAAATTAGATTCATCTTATGAATTAAAGAGCATGTTGAATGAGAACCCTGACCAGAAACTGATCTGTAACCAATACTGAAAATGAAATGCAATTTATAAAAAGATCTGCTTTTCAGTCTTGGGCTACTGGACCACTTTGCACTACCTCTGCATAACCAGACAAGCTCTGGTTACAGGATATTTAATCAAAACTATAAATTGGAAGTTTCTGTGCCTGGTAAAAATTTCAAAGCATGACTGTGTATCTTTAACTAGGAATTAACCCATATTGATGCAAAAGATATATTCCTGGGACATACTCTCTTGTTCTGAGCCTGTCATCAGGAAAACAGCTTTTAAAAGTTATCACAAAAATAACATCTGAGATTTTAGATCTTCCACAGGTTTCGACACTTACAGAATTGTTTTTCTTTGTCCCTTCCCACTTGTCGCTACCACCCTTCTCCACGGTGCAGCTGGGTGGTACCTCTGATGATACTAACTCTCCACGTCTAAACGTTGCCACGCCGAGCGTGATCCAGCCTCCCTAAGCTCATCCCCAACGTTCAGACTATGCCATCTCACTATCCGCTTCAACCTAATGCTCTCCCTCCCAAACAACTGCCTTTTGGCCGTAAACTGAGTAGGTAGAAATATCTTCTTCATCTCCCAACACCTATATTGATTCTGGCTTGCTATTACTGTAATATGACGGATTTATATACATATAAAACTAAATATTTAGAACAGGAAATATCTGTGGCAATTGTGACATATTTGATGTGCAATTCAACATGCAATCATTTACTCACTGTACTGCCATACTAGGACCCTTGGTAGACTGAAAGTTATGTCTTAAACCTGCAAAGAAGGCTTTATTTGTAATCTGTGTATCCTGCCAAGCATATTGTCCTTCACGCGACCCTTAGATAGTCAACAGTTTGTCCCGCTTTTATGCTAGGAAGACATTGGTGGGGAGTGACTGTCAACCGCAGGGAACGTTCCAGAAAGGGGGCAGGCCTAGGCGCCAGTCAGCAAACCGGTCCGCATGCTAATGAGGATCCAAAAGGAACCAATAGGAACACGGGCCCGAGTAAGACGTGACCAATAGCAGCATCTGGTTGCCTGCGGCACAATGCGGTTCACCTATAAAAAGGCCACGTGCCCTCACAGTTGGGGGACTCCTCCTTGTCAGTGACTGAGGAGAGAAGAAGAGCTGAAATCACAAAGTCTGGCGCATCAGGGAGGAAGAAACCTGGCGGTCTTTAGCGAGACCTGAAGAAGCCAGGTGGATATTTCCTGATTGAAGACGGCTCCGCCGGAGGCTGCGGGACAGCCAGCGGAGAAACTACATCGCTGAAACCAGGCTTCAGGGACTCGCTGCGCACCCCTGCCCCCAACGTGGGACGCCGGGTCAGGTATCTAGGATCCCGACCTCTACTGACCATCCAGCGGTGACTTATCTGCAGACACCCGACGTAACTCTGAAGGTGCGAAGCAGCACACTCTGTCCACGTGGCCTGCCTAATGCTAGGGCCTCTGGCCACAAAATGGCACAACCTCCCCTCCTATTTGGGGTGTGGCCTGCTTAAATATTAAGAGCTTTAGGCTACGCAGTGGCACCCCCTGCCTGGGGTGTCCTGCTTGGAATACGGGCCCCTGGGCCTGGAAGCGGCGCCCCCACTTGGGAGGTGCGGCCAGCTCAGCCTCCCCCCCCCACCTCACCACCTTGCGTGTATTTGTCTGCCATTCTCCGAGCTCAAATCTATATATGTGTGTGTATGTATAAATATGTAGTCACTTCTGTTTATTATTTTTTAGGTTTGAAGCTTCAGGAATACCATTGTAAATAAGTTAGTAAATTGCAGTTATTGTATATTGTTATCAACATTATTATAGTTGTTGTTGTTACTGTTCATTAATTCATTAAACATTGTTACTTGTCTGTGGATCGATACCACTGTGAACTCATTCATAAGGAACCGGGAGTCCTACACTACCACCCAAACCCTTCTAGCGTACGGAGCCCGCTGAATTACCTTACCAGGGCAAAATGCCTATCAGCTGGTTCGGTCGTTACACGGACGAACAAACTCAAATGGTCTGTAACTCTGCAGCACCGTTTTGGGAAACAGATCACTGACAGCTGTAACATGGATGCACCAATAGCATCCATGTTATGTAAAATACAGATTAAATAGAGGTTTTTAAATCTCTAAAGAAAGATTTTTTTGGCTATAAATGCGTGCTGTTTCCTTAGATACTTAAAAATTAAGAACTACGTGAAAAAGCAAAGCAATAATATTTCTTAACGCACAGAGACCATGAAAGGCAAGTGTCTTCAATGTACACTCCTTGAACATTTGTAACGCTAAGCCACACACTGATTCTAACCTTAGTACCTATTCAATCTTCTTAATAAAAATGCAGTTTTCAAGGTATATCTGGATAATTGTCTATACTAAGAAAGCATTATAAATCTAATAGTTATCATTGTAATCCATGGCAAATAATACCCTTTTAAGTGATACACAGGCCGCGGCCGCCTTCACATGTTTTCCTATGGACAGATTTTCCAAAACCACTCTCAAGGTTGTTCAGCTGCTCCCTCTGCTGGATTAAGCCAGTATCTGTCTGCTATACAAATTCAATTTGTTATTATTTCAAGTTTTGCTTTTTTATATGAACACAACATTTTTCCTTTGGATGTTCTGAAAAGTCTCACAAAAAGGATCTCCAAAATATCCAACCACACACTGGACTGCAAAGCCTCAATTTAGCTCCTTATAAAAGGAGAATTCCTTTTATATACTTGCACAAGAAAAACATGTTAACATCTGGCTTTGCAATCCTCATTCAGGTAATCTGCACTGATGCTTAGGCCAAGAGGAAAACCGAAAACAACTGCATTAAATCAGTACATATTTGACTATTTCTATTGGACTTCTACAAAGCTCCCAGACATCTGATAGAGTTCATCTATAATTTTTCTCAATCTGTACTTTTTACTCATTCATAACACTGAATAACTAAAACAAAGGCATAGTTAAACGCCAAATAATTGTTATTCACTTAGCATCACAGTCCCTAGCTAACCAATTACCAGGCCCTTATTAAAAAAAAATTCAACAAAATTGCTACAGTATAACTTATCAGGCTAGAATGAAACATGTAGATCAATTCTCATATGAAATTCCTCCATTCAGCAATCTGAAAAAGTTCCATCTGTTGTTTAAATGAAGTTCACAAAGGGAAAGTCTTAAAACTCTGCAGTGTTCACTTTAAAGCTCAGTAATGGAAGAACCATTTTTAGCCTCGTTTCCTGTATGTATGCAGCAATTTTAAAAATGTACATATATATATTCTCATTCCTTATTCATGCGTGAAATAGAGAGCTATTACCAGTCAGCAGTTTCATCATTTGAATAAAAATAAAACATTTCATCCTGATATCCAAAAAGTTGTTTTACAAACTGTGGCCTTTTTTTTGGGTCATTGAGAAGACCTCAGTATACACAGCAATGGTTTCGTTATGTTAAAAGACATTTTCTAAGACACTGACTTCCATTTATTTTCAACAGAAAATGGATGGCATGACTGTCAGCAGTGCCTCAGAAAATCTTCCCTTAGAGGACAAGGAAACATGCATATCTTGTCTATCATGTTTTCCAAAGCAAATAGTTTCAAGATCTACATTCTATACCTCAGAAATCAAGTAATGTAAATGCAACATACACATTTTTACCAAAAATTCTAAAATTCTAAATTGTGTATTTTCATCATTTCCTCTTGCTCATAATCCTAAAACCTAATGATTATCCCAAACCCCAAAAGCTATCCACAATCTGTACATGGCATTCACTGCAGATCTGTTAACAACTTGATGTTTTCTTGCAAACCCTCATAATCAGTTTTTCCAAGAGCCCCAAATACTAAAATCAAGACACTGTATGTCCTGTAATCCTGTTTTTCACACAAGTTCCATAAAACTCTCTTTTGTGTGAAGCTTGACAATGGTTACATTGTTGATTTGTCGTGACTATTGCCTTTCCTGCTCACTAATAATGATCTTGCTACGTCTTTATGTTTCCTTATGCCCATTTGCTGACTTGTCTTATCATTAGATTATAAATCACTTTGGCATGGAACATCTTTTGATAAATGTGCAGCACCTAGCACAACATAGTACCCTGAATGACTACTTAGGTTTCTAACCATTATGATGAGGAGACTATTACAAAAAGTAGTATGTGAGATCAATATATTAAAAAATGTACAAAGATATGAATTTTGCTATTTTGACTTGTTGCTGAAAATATGTTTTTTCACAGCCTCATATTTGCAGTGTTGAAGATGTGTTATTATATATTCTGATTACACTATCGTTCACACGTTTTAAATAGTTCATAACACCTTGCTTAAACGTCAATGCAGTATTATAAATATTAAATATTATTATTTCATATTTACCTGCAATAAGGGACTACATTCTAAACCAGATGCAGTTTAGTAAACACAGTAAAAGTCTGCACGCCCAAGACGAGTTCTTGCAAAGTAGACAGCAGTCTAAAACAGCAGATCACCAACGGTAACAAAACTGATGCAAAAGTGTGACAAAATGGTTGTCAACTTTGTCTGTTCTGGACACCTAGAAAGTCTGGTCTACTGCTGCTCTTCCTGTGAGGGGAAGGGGGGAAAGAAGAGGCTATGCAAAAAGGCTAATGTGGCCAAGAGGGGCTGTCAGCTACTGCCTTCCACTAACATTAGAAAGAGCATAAAGCCAGAGATCTCTCAGAGGCGTCACTGTTCCAGCCATGCTCCTGGACCCTCCCATTCCTCTTCCCATCACCGTAGTCATTCATCCATCATGGCACAATTCAATTGGGCCATATGGCAGAAAAATTTTGAGCCAGCTCTGCGCCCGCATTTAATTTTAATATTGAATGGACAGGACATAACAGTGTCTTAACACTGAAAGGCATTATATCCAAAGTGTCTGCAGGATTACAGTTTACTTTTCCACGCATGACGTTCAAAAGTGAATCTGCATGAGACTCGAAAGAGAAAAATCAGATGGGAATGAAAGAAACAGATGCAGTAGGGAATCCCAAATTATCTGGACATGACTACTCCGTTTGGAGCACATTCAAACCACAACCCAGTCATACAAAGCCCTCAGCAAGCAGCCATTTTAGAACTGCAACTATTCTTTCAACAGTATATACATAAATATCCATGGGTTTGGGCTTAGCTGTTATGTTCCTTCATATTGGGACCAGTATCATCTCATTTATTATCTCACAAGCATACTGTGACTTTATAAACCAATAAAAATATAATAAAGCAACAAATTAAAAATACAGATATTGGGAGGCATCAATCCTTAAATTAGAAAAAAAAAGTAAAAGACCTTTATAAATGGTCTTTTAAAACATCTTAAATAGGCTAATTTTGTAACTAGTTTCTTCCTTTAAGAAATTCCCTTTAATCTCAACTTCGATTCTTTCATTTTTAGTTATTAATTTAATGCCACTGTTACTCTAAAGGAATTTAAAGCTTTTGCTTGGAAATGTAAACATGAGCTATTTTTGAAGCGCTGAAATCAAGATATACCCCTTACGCAGTTACACCTTGTCTTTTGTTTTACTGTACTGAAAAAAACACAGATCAATCAAGAGAGGGATTCTCGTGAGAAGTATTCGCTCATAGTCTGCTTGGCGGTGCTGCTCTGTAATTATACTAATTGGTTCAAGATTTCTCTATTAATGTTTCCACGGAAATCCTGGCTGCGACAGCTGCTTGCAAGTTGGGTCTACTTTTGGTAGCTTAAAAATACCAGGATGTCTCTTAAAACTTTTCTTTAGGCATTGTCCATTGTGCTAATGAAACTGAAACACAGCCGATTTTTTTGAACCTGACAGAGGTAAATGTGACAGAAGTAAAAAAGGAGGAAATCACAGCAATGGAAGAGGGAATTGGATAATAAACCGAATGCCAAAACCAAACTTTGTTTGCCCCCCAGTCCTTCACAACGTCCCATAGTTTTACTCTCTCGCATTTCATGAAAGCATATTCACACCTGGTCCCATCGATACCCCACGCACCAAAGCCTGAAACGTGGTCCATGGCCATCTTCACCTTTGACAGGACTACAGGCCACAAAAAACTATAGATTGCATCTGCAATGCTCAAAACAGAGTATCTAGCTCCTGAACACACTCAGCTTTCCACCTGAAATCTAAAATTAAAAGTATTTCTACAATCAAAACTAAGGAACTTAGGCAAATATAGCGAAGGTGCCAAAGCAGTTCACTCTTTTGTCTTCATTCTGGTCATACTTTCAGTTTAAACACAGATCAGGATGTAGAATTGTCTTGTTCCACCTAACTTTCCCAGTTTAAAGTCTTCATAAATTGTTTGAAGAATGCTATTAACAGAAGGCCAAGAGCAAAAATCAGCCCGACACCCAGCAGCATTAGGGGTCGCGGGCTCCGCGGCCAGTACCGGGGCAGGGTGGCAGCGCCATCTCTGAGGAGGGCATTTCTGAGGGGACATCCCTGAGGGGGGACAGTTCTGAGGGGACATTCCTGAGGGGGACGTTCCTGAGGGA